GCACCCTTCATTGCAGACCTCAAGGCTAACACATCCCGCGGCCGCAGACGAGATCGTCTTCGACACCGCTACCGGCGATGCCATCAGTTGTCATTGTCGGCACCTTCCTGTGCACATCTGACTCTTACCACCGTCAACACCCAAGGCTGGTGCTGGGCCAACCAGACGGACCGGCACATGCTGAAGGCGCAAGGTCTTCTGCGCCTCGCCCGTCAACATCACTGGGACATTGCATGCTTATCTGATGTCCATTGTCCTGTGGGCTTTTCTGGGCCTGGAGCGCCTACGGACTTGCGGAACACAGTGGTGGCCCTCGAAGAATTCATCGTGATTTTTGGGACGCGGAGCGCCATCTTGCTGAACCCGGCTGCCCAGCAAGCCTGGCGAGAGCATGATTGCGACATCTCTCGGCACGAATGTGGACGTTTATTAACCATCTCTCTTCGCATCAAAGGCCTTTCGTATGTTATCACTTCTGTGTACGCACCAGATCAATCTTATGGCGCGGAGCTTCGGAGAGACTTTTTCGATTTTTGTGATGACGTGAGACTTCGTTTTTCAAATTCTGACTATCAACTCTGGCTGGGGGACTGGAACAGCCACGTGGGCGACGACGTGCAGCCACAGTACGGCGGCCTCGGCACCTATGGCATGCGCACGCCGACGGGCACTCCCGGGAAAGAGTTTGCGGCCTGGCTGTCCAACGGCCCTCACTTGGAACTGGTGGATTCGTACTTCCGTGTGACTCCCCGGGGCACTTGGTCTCATCCAGTGGGCGGCCGCCATGTGCACTTCGAGCTGGACGTGTGTGTGGCATCATCGCCTCTTCTTCGCCGCTTCTCTCGGGTGAAGACTTTCCAAGTGGATTTCTCGGACCACTGCGGCAAGTCCTACAACCTGGCCCTGGCACAGGCGCACGAGGCGTGGAAAGAACTTCGACAACGTGGTGCCGAGGCCCAGAAACGCCCTCTTGCCCTTCATCGGATGCAGGGCTCGCTCCCCGAGGCGATGAGGAAGGAGTATGAACGCCTTTGTGAAGCTCGGGCTCCGCCCCTGGACGCCGACTGCCCGTTGTCCACCATCCGAGACATCACCACGGCAACTGCAGAAGAAGTGGTTGGGCGGGAGTCGAAGCGTTGGTGTACCCCGTATCTCGCCGGCCACGCGGCAGAGATGCAAGCTGAGCGTGATGCACTTCTGGACCTTCGCCGCCGCCAGCGCCTTGCGAGCACCACGGAGGAGTACACGGCACTGCGTCAGCAGCACCGGGCCCGCTCCCAGGCGTATCGCGCTCTCCGACGGAAGTGGCGCGCGGAGTGGATCTCTGGCATGGTGGTGGAGCTGGAGCGGTCCATGCAGCACCACGACATGGGCCGATTCTACGCGGCGTTGCGCGAGCTGGGGGTCAATCTGCAGGAGTACTCGCAGCGAGGACGCCAGGATCACACCCCGGAGGCCCTTCGGGCTCACTACAGCAAGCTAGGCGCCGAGCCCAACACGGTCGACCAGAGCACCCTGGACCGCCTGCCGCCGCCTCGCCCGACTTGTGAAGCTCTTGGGGATACTCCGACGACGGCAGAAGTCTTGGCTCAGATGAAGAAGATGAAGAACTCAGCGGGGGGCAAGGACGAGGTCACGATTAAGATGCTGCTGCACGGCGGGGACCGGGTCGTGGGCCACACCATTCGTGGAGTCCAACAGCTGTGGGCGACACCGCCACAGGAGTGTGGGAGACCTTCATCCACGAGGCGGTGGTCATCTCCCTCTGGAAGCAGAAAGGGAGCCCGCAAGACCTGGACAAGCACCGCGGCATCTGTCTGATCTCGATACTTGCGCGGATTATCGCCCGTGTCTTGTCAGCGAGACTCACCACATATTGCGAGGACCAGAACGTCTTAGCCAATGACCAATGGGGCTTCCGACCGCTGCGGAGTACTTTGGGCGCGATCTCTGTGGTCCGGCGGTTGGTGGATCTTGCTTGTCACTGCGGCGCCGAGCACATCCGAGACCCCGTTTGTGTCGAACCACTGGACATGCAGAAGGCGTACCCCTCGGCCTCCCGGAACGCGGCCGAAGCCGTGGAGCGCAACGAGGGCATCCCGGAGTCGGTCATCCTGCTAGAACGGGGGCTCACGGAGCTCACGCAGTACGTCTGCCGGAACAAGCTGGGGTACTCTAAACCGTACAAGTTGCTGCGCGGCTTCAAGGAAGGCTGCCCCGCGTCCTGCGTGAGGTACAACATCTATCACAACGCCGGCCTTCGTGATTTTCGGCAACGTTCTGCTGCGGCCGGCCTGCCTGACTCCATCCAGCTTCGACACGCTCCTGAAACTGTTCGCATTCATCCACCCAACGGGGCACACGGCCCGAAGTGGCAGCAGCGGGCCGACACCTGGGAGCGCTTCACCGTGGACCTCATCAGCTTCGCGGACGACACCAACTTGGTGCACCGGGCGTCTGTGGCAGCGGCCCGCCGGGAGCTGATCACATCGACCATGAAGGAGTGGGGCGAGACGGTCCACCCGGACAAGTGGCAACACCTGCGCGTCCGGCGGGCGACGCCTGCCCAGGCCGCCGCTCCTGCTCCCCCCGCAGCGGCGCAGCCAGGCGCCGACAGCGCGCCCCGGCGGCGGCCGGCAGCCGCCGCGCCTCCAGCAGCGCCCGCAGCGGCGCAGCCAGGCGCCGACCACGCGCCCCTGCGGCGGCCGGCAGCCGCCGCGCCTCCAGCTGCGCCCGCTGCGCCTCCAGCTGTGCCCGCCCGACGGATCAGGGGAAAGCGTCCGGCGGTGGCCTCCAGCGGGCCTGCTCAGAGAGCGCCCCCTCCTGCAGCTGAGCGCTGGGATCAGGCAATCGAATTGCTGGGCTCTTGGATCTCTGAGGACGGCACGACGGACCGCAATTTGTATGAGAGGTTGACTCGGGCCCGCAAGCTGTGGTACGCCGTTTATCGCCGACTTCCATCTCTGGGCCTGAGCCCCCGGGAGAAGGGCAAGGTGGTCCAGGCGACGGTCATGGCCTCTTTGCTCTACGGTTGCGAGGTCACACCTTTCAACGCCAAGCAGCTGGACATCATGCAGCGATTCCAGAACCGGGTGGTTCGTGCTTTGACCATGAGTGAGACTCTCACCATCCGCACCATGAAGGGCAAGCTTACGCAAACCGACCTGCGCCTTCGGACGGGGATGGACAGCATCAAGGTTCAGATTGTCAAGCGTACGTTGGGCTGGATCGGGCACGTCTGCCGTCGGGGTTCCTCTCGGCTGGAGTATCGTATGCTTCGCGGGTGGCTGGACCCGGAGTGCACCCACACCGCGGCAGGGCGCAGCCTGACTTGGAAGAAGCAAGTGGACGACTGGTTGCGCGGCGTGGAGGCACTGGACGGGCAGGAGCGATCGTGGCACATCCTGGCCACCACGTACGACGACAGCGGCGGGCACAGCACGTGGGATCGGCTGATCAGCAAGTATGTCGAGGAGAAGCGCAAGAGCGCGGACCACGACACCCACGCGAATCGCCATGCTGCCGACCCTCGGCCGGCACCAGATGGGGATGAAGGAGGCGGAGGCGACGGAGGAGGAGAAGGAGGAGGTGGAGATGGTGGATTGCATCGCTTGGCCCTTCCCTCTTCCAAAGCTGTGGCCAAGGCAAAGGCGCGCATCGAGCCGATGGTCACCTGCGAGTGCGGCGTCACGGTTCAGCAGCGCTCTCTTGCCGCACATCAGCGCTATTCTTGCGCTCTTCGACGTGCGCGGCCACAGGAGCACCACATCCCGGCGGCGAGGGGACAGCAAGCCGAACGCCAACGCTGGCAACGAGCGGCTTCAGCACGCGGATCGTCGAGGTCATCGGCACCGGCAGCAGCATCTTCGTCGTCCGCCGGGGCGGCCGCAGCGAGCGCCCCTCCGCAGCCGCCGCTGGCCCCGGCAGCCGGGCCCGCCCCTCCTCCACTGCCTCTCCCAGCACTACATGTTCGCAGGCGCCCAGGCATGCCAGCCCAGCAGCCCCCGGCGGCCGCGGCGGCTGCCGCACCTCCACCTGCAGGGGCTCTCCGCCGACCGGCGGCTTCTGTCCTGCGACGCCCGGCTCAGGCGGAGGGTCCGCGACCGTCGGATTCCTGGTCCCGTACCTGCCCGTACTGTGGGAAGGACCGCACACAGTGCAAGTCGAGGGAGAACTGCCCCAGCATGCCATTCTCGATCTGGAGGGAGGCCACACGCTTGCGGAGTATCGCGGAGTACGGGGAGGCGACGGTGAACTCGTGGACCCAGCAGTGCCCTCACTGCGGCTTGCCTTTCCGGGACATCTACGCGAAGCGGGTGCACGTGGGCCACTGCAAGAAGCGGCGGCTGGCCGCGACACTGCCGCTGGACGGCTACCCCGGCCTTCGGCAGCCTTGAGCTGGTCGTGGACGGCGGCCAGGCGATCTTCGAGCCAAAGGGGCTCCCTGCTTTACTACATCATCCACTTCATCAGTCAGTTCATCATCGAGAGCTTCTTCTGGTACGTCTACATGTACGCCTTCATATATCTACGCCTTTATCATCAAGTACATCTTCAGGAGTACTCTATACATCGAGCTTCTTCTGGTACGTCTACATGTACGCCTTCATATATCTACGCATTTATCCTCAAGTGCATCTTCAAGAGTACTCTATACATCTATGCCTTCATCATCACTTACATCTTCAAGGGGACTACATCGTCCGCTTCACCAGCCAGGTCGTCATGGAGGGCTCTGGCGGGAGAGCTTGCTGTAGCGTGGGGCTGTAACGTGCATGGTTGCCGCGTCAGGGGCCGAAGGTGCAGCACGGAAGCCACTCTCATCATCATGTTCCCCTTCCTCACCATCATGTTCTCTTTCTTCTCTGTCGCCTTCGTGGCGGTTGCGGGGGGAGCGAAGTTTTTGCCGGCGTTGATAGCAGGCACGCAAAGGTCACGAATTTGTCCGCCATGAATCTGGCATACGTCATTCACGTCACTCACAATATCGATGTATTCTGATGGTTTCTGTCTTTACGTTCCACATTCATTGCAGTTTTGTCGTCAAGTTGATTCCGCTCAGCGTTGCGGGCGCCCTGGTTCTTGTTCCTACAGTGATGGCGGAGGCAGCTCTGGCAGCGCTGGCGTCGGCCGCCCCGGCGGCCGGGGACGCGGGCATGCCTGCAGCTCAGCGCGAGGTCCGGGCCCCCACAGGCTTGGACGAAGTGGTGAATCTCATAGGCCGGATTGTCATTCGTCACGATCGTTCTCTGCAGATGCTCCAGGATCTGAACTCGGTGTCTGTGCTGGTCTTCCACACCGGCCCCAAGGACAAGGTCTCGGCGGTCCGGAAGGACTGGCGCGACAAGAAGCCGGAGACCGGTCCCCACCCGTGCGGGCACTCTCTGCGCGCCATGATCTGGGCCTCTCTCATCACGGAGTTGAAGACGGCGCACTCGGCGCACGTGTCCACGCTGAAGGCGCCTCCGGTGGAGCAGCCCGTCATTGACAAGGCGCTGGCGCAGGGGCGGGCGCTGGAGGAGCTGAGCAAGCAGGTGCTGTCCGACATCGAGACGGCCTTCTTCCGCATCCAGCCGAAGTTCGAGGACCCCCTCCCGGAGGAGGACCCGGCGTGGGTGTGGACCCTGACGCTCAGCCGGCAGGCGCCCGTGGAGTTCATCAAGCTCCTGGCTCAGGTGGCGGATTTTGGATCGAAGTCCAAAGCCATCCGGTTGGTGCACAGCCGCAGCGAGGACGGCCCGCAGATCCAGCAGCTGCAGGCCTCGGTCGGCAAGGGCAAGGGCAAGGGTGGTGGTGGTCAGACGGGTCGCAAGCGCCGCAGGCGCGGGACCGATCAAGAGATGTTAATTGAGGTCGTCCTGCATGCACCGGGCCCTCCTCCCCTCTTCCGGGCCCCACGGGGCCGGGGGGAGGGCCCACTGCCCCCTCGGGGGCCCAGGGCGCCCCGGCGCCACGGGCCGCCGCCACGGGCCTAATTCAACACGGTAGTCTTCTTCGTGGTTGGGGTGTTGCTCGGGCGCATGGGCATCCAGCGGATCTCGGCCATGAAGCTCTACCCGGTCTTCCGGCACATTTTGGTGTTGAATTCGTACGTCTCTGCACTACTACTCCTACGCCTTCTACTACACCATCTACGCCTCCTCCTACACCTTCCTCATGTACAATTTTCATTGCGCGCACGTGCGCCGCGCAGCTCGGAAGTTTTTGCGGGCCCCGGTCAGCCTGGCCGTGATGGGGCGCTACAAGTTCTTCAACCCGAGGCTCCCGAGAGCGAGCCGCAACGTCAAAAATTGTGGAAGTCACAGCTTCCAATGACGAGTGGTGACGCAACCGGCCCTTTACACCAAGGTTCCCAAGAGCGAAGAGCGCAACGAGCCATCCCGGGCAAATTCCTGCAGCACGGCGCGGGTCTTCTCGCTTGCCATGGACCCCTCGCCCAGTCGCGGCCCCAAGAGGAACACAGGGCCCCTCCATGGCTGCAAGACCACTCCAGACCTGCCCAGGACGGCCGAGCAGGCCCCCAAGACAGCCCAGGAGGAGCCGCAGAGCGCTCCGCGAGCGGACCGAGACGGCCCAAGACGGCCCCAAGGCAGCCCGAGAGTCGCCAAAGCGTCGTCGGCCTTACGGCTGGGAGACGAAGGCCTTGGGATACCCAGATGGTCTGGTACCGGAAATTTTCGGTAGCGATTTCGACGCATCCCGAATTTCGGTAGCGACCGGATCTTCGTTTGAGGGCGTTGAAATAGCGGATTTCGGAACGTTCTGATACCGGTATTGGGCGCTGCATTTCGGTATTTCGGTAGCGACCGATCTCTGCGGAGCGCTACCGGAAATTTTCGGTAGCGGACCATCAGGGTACGGCCAGGGCGTCCCTTTCTTCCAGTAGTTCTTTCCGGCCGTGCGACGTCTTACGGCCGGAAAAAAATCCCGCAGTGGAAGGCTTCTGGGGCCATTTTGCAGTCACATGCTATTGTGGTTCGTGCTTACCGCCGCGCACGCCCCAGTAACAACATCAACCAGCTGTCGTGGACGTGGTTCACGGGTTCGCCCTAGTCTCTACTACATTGCAGGGCCCAGTGCGTGCCAGAAGGGCGCAGGCTCCAATGTCTCAAAACCGCCCCGGGCTGGCCCCGGGCCGCCCCGGGCCGCCCAGGCAGGCTCCAGGACATGTCGGGAGGGCCCCCAGAAGCCCCCAAGACGGCCCCGGAGAGCCCCGGCACGCTTAAAGATGGGCCCAAGACGCCCGAGATTCGCCCCAGGCGGCCCAAGAGGCGTCCAAGACGCCCGAAGAGGCCTCCCAAGAGGCTCCCAAGAGGGCCCCGAGCGACAGAAATCGTCGATTTCTACTATGTTTTTCGATGCTTTCGGCCTCCTCGCCTCTTCGGCTTCCCGACGCTCCAAGACGGCCCAAGAAGTCCCCCCGACCGCTCCAAGACGGCCGAAGAGGACCCCAAGAGAGCCCCAAGACGGGCCAGGAGGGCCCCCAGACGGTCCCAAGACGCCCCAGGACGGCCCCAGGACGGCCCAGGAGGCGCCCAAGACGGCCCAAGAGGCACCCAAGACGGCCCCAGGAGCGGCCCAAGACGGCCCAAGACAGCCCAAGAGGCGCCGAGGCGGGTCTCAGACGGCCCCAAGACGGCCCAAGAGGCCCGAGAGGGCCCTAAGAGCCCCCCCGGGAGGCCCAAAAGAAGGCCGAAGAGGCTCCGAAACGGCCCCCACGAAGCCTTCAGTGCCTTCAGAATTCCCTCAAGGAGCGGGGGAGCGAACGAGAGGCGACAGGCATATCGCAGGCCAAAACGCCCCAAGAGATCCCCAAACGGCCCCCACGAAGCCCTAAGTGGCCTCAGAATTGCTTCCAGGAGGGGGGGAGCGGACGAGAGGCGACCAGCATATCGAAGGCACAAAAGAACAATGTTGGACGCTCCGAGGGCCTTCGATGTTTCTCCGTTGGGGAGAGTCGTCGTAGGATCGACGATTGCCGACCGAGGGCAGCGAATCCAGTGGAGGCCCAAGAGGCCCCCAGGAGCCCAAAAGAGATCCCCAAGAGGTGCCACGGGGCTTAAAAACTGCTTCGAAGCGAGGGGGGCGGACGAGGGGACCGCCTCAGGAGGTTTTGGACGGTTTTGGGCCTCAAAATCGTCCGCTTTACGACGGTTTTGGAAGGATTTTGGCCTTCTCGCCTTTTCCGCTTTCCGACGCTCGAAGACGGCCCAAGAGGCCTCCAAGAGCGCCCCAGAACGGCCCAAGAGGTTTCCAAGAGCGCCCCAAGACAGCCCAAGAGGGCCCCAAGACGACCCAAGAGACGCTCAAGACGGCCCACGAGGGCCCGAAGACAGGCCCAAGAGGGGGCCAAGAGGGGGACCACGGACCGAAAATCCGAGCCTTCCGCCCCAAGAGGGCGCCAGGAGGCCCAAACAGGCCCCCAAGAGGCCCCAAGGGGCCGCCAAGAATCCCCCGAAGAGGCCCCAGGAGGCTCCCAAGGAGCCCAAACGAGGCCCCTACAGAGGCCCCAACAGCTTCCAAAATGGCCCCGAAGAGGCCTCGAGCCCGCCTCCGAGCTTCCTCGCCGCGAGGGTGCCAACACGGCCCCAGACCGGCCCAGGACGGCCCAAGGCGCGCTCAAGACGGCCCAAGACGATTCCAAGACGGTCCCAGGAGGGTGCGCCCAGGACGGCCCAAGGACGCGCCCGTTCGGGGCCTCAAGACGGGCCAAGATGGCAAGAGAGTCCCAGCTGGCAAAAATCGTTAATTTTCCATTGTTTACTGTTACACCCTTTGCGTTTCCCGCCGTTTCGGCGGTCCGATGCACCAAGAGGCCCCAGAAAGTCCCAGGAGGGTCCGAGGAACCGCCCAGGAAGGCCCCAAGACGGGCCAAGACGGACCCAGCACAACCCAAGGCGCGCTGCGACGGCTCAAGACGGCTCCAAGACAGCCCCAAGAGGGTGCCAACACGGCCCCTGCTGGGCCCAGGACGGCCCAAGGAGGCGCACAGGAGGGGCCCAAGACGACTCCAAGGCGGCCTCCTCACGGTCCCAGACGGCTCCAAGACAGCCCCACGAGGACCCCGATGGGCCCAGGACGGCCTACGGACGCGCCCATGAGGGGCCCACGACGAACCAAGACGGCCCCATCAGGGCAAACGGCGCCCTCAAGACGGGCCTAGACGGCTCCAAGACGGCCCTTTGAGGGAGCCAACGCGGCCCCACACCCTTCGGGCGCACACTTGGGGGGGCTGGGAGCTTGCGACAAGTCTCCCACATTCATTGTCCTGCCCCATTCTGTTCGCCTGGAGGCCTCCTCCAACCCTGTGGGCGAACAAGAGGAATCCCAGCGGGACGCCAACCCTGGGGCCCGTGGGCCCCGCGCCGCTTGGGCAGAAGACGAACGCCGGGTCTGACAGGCCAGCTACCGCCCCCCTTTGCCCGATATGCTGTGCCATTCTGTTCCCCCAGGGGCCTTGGCAAACTCTTCGGGCCAAGCAGACCGGACCCCTGGGACAGCAGCCAATTGATATGACCCTGGGACCTCTCCGCATTCTTCGGACGAGCATCTGGGGGGCCCAGGAGATTCGGACATGTCTTCCCCATTCCTTGCCCTGTCCCGTTCTGTTCGCCCGAAGGCCTCCACAGACCCTCTGGGCGAACAGAATGGGACATGGCGAACAAACCCTCCCGTTGGCGGTGATGCGACTGGATCGCACCATCAAGGCGCGCCCGGAGGTGATGGCCGACCCAACAGCGGTTTCTCTTAAGAGTTCACTGGATTTCAAATTTTCTTGAAGCTCTCTTGGGCCCTCCCTGTAGATCCTTGCGAGCCTCCCCGGCGCTTTCGGTGGCTTTCCCCGATGGCCTCCCGAGCCCTTCCCCGAGCGCTCCTGAGACGCCTCAGATGGGCTTCGACTTCGACGCACATCCCCGAGAGACTTCGAAACTGTCCTCAATAGGAGGGGGGTGAACGAGCAGTGCGCTGGGCCAAGCTGCTGCAGCGCTGCAAGAGCTCGGACACGAAGGCGCGGTCTCGCTGCCGCCGCCCGAGCCGCCGCCGTGTTTGTAGATTTTCGGTACAATCTGCGCCGTTCCTCCGAGAACCATTCCAGAAAGATGTCGTGGACGGAGTCCACGGGTCAGCCCTAGTCTCTACTACATTGCAGGGCCCAGTGCGTGCCAGAAGGGCGCAGGCCCCAATGCACCGAAACCGCCCCGGGCTGGCCCCGGGCCGCCCAGGAGGCAGGCTCCAGGACCCCCCCAGAAGCCCCCAAGACGGCCCCGGAGAGCCCCGGCACGCTTAAAGATGGGCCCAAGACGCCCGAGATTCGCCCCAGACGGCCCAAGAGGCGTCCAAGACGCCCGAAGAGGCCTCCCAAGAGGCCTCCCAAGAGGGCCCCGAGCGACAGAAATCGTAGATTTCTATTGTGTTTTTCGATGTTTTCGGCCTCCTCGCCTCTTCGGCTTCCCGACGCTCCAAGACGGCCCAAGAAGTCCCCCCGACCGCTCCAAGACGGCCGAAGAGGACCCCAAGAGAGCCCCAAGACGGGCCAGGAGGGCCCCAAGACGGTCCCAAGACGCCCCAGGACGGCCCCAGGACGGCCCAGGAGGCGCCCAAGACGGCCCAAGAGGCACCCAAGACGGCCCCAGGAGCGGCCCAAGACGGCCCAAGACAGCCCAAGAGGCGCCGAGGCGGGCCTCAGACGGCCCCAAGACGGCCCAAGAGGCACCCAAGACGGCCCGAGAGGGCCCTAAGAGCCCCCCCGGGAGGCCCAAAAGAAGGCCGAAGAGGCTCCGAAACGGCCCCCACGAAGCCTTCAGTGCCTTCAGCATTCCCTCCAGGAGCGGGGGAGCGGACGAGAGGCGACAGGCACGCCGCGCTTGCCCAGAGACCCCTCGCCACGTCGAGCTGATGTCGTGGACGGAGTCCACAGGTCTGCCCTAGTCAGCTACAGCGCTGGGGCCAGCGCGTGCGAGAAGGGTGAGCAGTGGCTGCCGGCGCTCGCGTTGTTGAGCGAGATGTTGGAGGCGAAGTTGCAGCCCAACGTTATCCGACCTAAATGTTTCACGCTTCGCGTATCCCCACCTTTTTGGTGCTCCGTGAGTGAGGCATCTTTCTTTTCCCCTCCTCTCCCCTTCTTCCTGTCACCCTGCTCAGTGCCCGGCTTCAGGGTGCTGGCGCCGCGTGCGTCGCCACGTGCGGCTGGCTCTCGTCAGGCGCTCTGCATCTCTTTGGCTTGGTGCCTCCGTCTGCCCGTTTTCCCCAATTTGTTCTGCATGATTGCGTGTGCGGTCGGCTGTCGACAGTGACAGCTGGGTTCGCAAATTATCTGGCTCTGTGCCCCAGGCAGCCCGATGGACACGCCCTCAGGACTCTTCCTTGCGGGCCGCAGATAAAAAAAGGTATCCCCACCAGCCGTCCCGGACTTAGCTCTCGCCGCCTGACCGTCGTCTCGCGGCCGCGACCGAAAAATACCCCCACCAGCCTATTTAGGAACCCTGCCCGTGAGAGCTGGCGGAAAAAGAGAGACATACGTCGTGAAACAAAGCGGGCAACCAGGGTGAACAGAGAGATCTCAGGGAGCAAGGGTGGGGCCTTCGAGGGCCTCTTCGGGCCATCCCTGGGGCCCGCGTGGGCACAAGGGAAGGAGGATGACGACGACGATGACGAGGACGAGGACGGCGGCGGCGGCGGCGGCGACGACGACGACGAGGAAGAGGAGGAAAAGGAAAAGGAAAACGATGAGGGCATGCATGGACGAGGACGAAGAGAAGGATGAGGAGGAGGATGATGAGGAGGAGGAGGCGGAGGAGGAGGAAAAGGAGGAGGAGGAGGAAAAGGACAGCGAGGACGAGGAGAAAACCTTCAACATCGCCTCTTGGAGCCGGGGGGGGTTTGGGGCCCTCTTGGGGCGCTGTTGGCGTCCTTTCGGGGGTCCCTTGGGAGCCCTGGAGGACCTTTTGGGGCCGTCTTGGAGGCCATCGATCAAAAGGGAGGCGGTCCCAATTTGCCTTGTTTGTCAAAGTCGCCCCCTGGGCGACTGTTTTACATTGGTGTTGCCAACGCTGTCCCTTGCGGCGATCGCGTTTCTCTTGGGCTTTGCCACCCCCACCCCCCCGCGAGGGACCGAGCCAGCGTTCGTTCGGGTGGGGCCGCGCGCCTCTTTTCTCCCGTTGATTCTCTGGCTCATCGGCGTTGCTGAGGTCGCGGCCCGTAGGCCTACTCCCACATGTTCAATGGACGCAGCGCGCCGTTTCCCAACGCGATGCCTGCGGCATGTGGCTCTTTTTCAAACGACACAGATGTTAACCCAAACGCAACTTATTTCGTTTTCGCGATACTAACTTTGGAACAACTTGAAAACAACTTTCCCTCTTTGTGCTCTTGTCTGCTGCTGTAGAGGGCGGAGAGCGTCATAAAGCTGGCCGAGGTGGTGATGCCGATGGCGAGGCTGCCACGGCTCTGGCCCCGCGCGCCCTGCGCGATGCGCGGGCCCAACACTGCCTGAGCGACTTCGACTCGCCCGAGGTCGCCCCCGAGTGCGTGGCCGCCACCATTGAGGGCGCCGTCGGGGGCCCCCAGCGGCGGCAACGGCACGCGCGCCAGGCCGGCCTCGCGCCGTTGGGGGGCTCGCGCGGACCTTCGAGGTCAGGCGGCCGCCGTTCGCCGCCCTGCGCAAGATCTGGGGCCCGCCGCAGCTGAGGAGAGCGCCCGAGGAAGGCGGGGGCGCAACGCCCTTGGGCTCCGGGCTGCCGGGCGGGGCCCGCTCGGAGCTGTTCGCAGCCGAGTGCCTCCGGCCCACGGGGCGCGCTGATATCCGCGCGGGCGTCGACTCGGTCGTCGTCGCGACAGACGCCAGCGAGGAAGGGGGCGGCGCGCGCTTCTCGACGGCCCCGCGGGGCGCGGCTCCGAGGTCGCTGGCAAGCCAGCGGGCGAGGAGGGCCGCGCCTTTCTCACGCGGGGGGCGATGGTCGCCCGCGCGCCACTGGAGCTCCTGGCGTCCGAGGAGGCCCCTCCGACCGCGGCGCCGTTTGACTTGCAGGCGAGGGTCGGCGATGCCGCGGAGGCGCCGTCGAGGCGCCCGTGTCGCATGGTCAGGGAGGGCACCCGAGCGGTCTTATTATGTCCTTGCGCGCGTTCGTCCGCGTGGGCATCATCTCCTGGGAGGCCCGCGCCATGGGGCCACGCTGGGGGGCCGCGCAGGGGGGCCGCGCTGGGGGGGCCAGGCTGGAGGGCTGCGTGGGGAGGCCACGCTGGGGGGCCACGCTGAGGGGCCACGCTGGGAGCCCATGCTGGGGGCCCACGCTGGGCGGCCACGCTCGGGGGTCACGCAGCGGAGCCCCCCAGGAAAAGGCGGTGCATTCGCAGCGGTTTCAATGCACATTCCGTTGCAGGGGGCGTGCAGCGGGTTCAGAGAGCGCCGGCAAAGCACGGGCGAAGGCCCGCCCTCGCCGAGCGCGCGCCCGCGAGTGCCTGCCGCGGGGCCCCCAAACTGGCCTCTTGAAGCATGGCGCCTAACGGCGACAAGCAGTGCTGGACAAGCCAGGCGCGCACTACGAGCGCCCGGACTGCGCCGCCCCCGCTCGAGCCCCGCACGCTGGAAAAGAAACGTCATTCGCGCGATGTCCGGCGCGCGTTCCCATAGCAGGATCCCTCGCAGTTGTTTGCGACTACAAAACGAAAGTTCGTCGCTGGCGCCAGCGGGTCGCCATCCCGGGTGGGCGCGCTGAGCTCCGAACCAGAGCTGCGAGGGACCCCGTTGCCTGGCGCGACGAAAGAGGGGCAACTGAGGCGGGGGCCTCTTCTGGGCCACGGTGCGCCAGGAAGCGGCGCAGCCGCCGGCCGCAGCATGGGCCCACTGTCGAGGAAAGCGCCAGCGCCCTCTCTCATTGTCCGCAGCTGCGGGGGGCGAGCATGACGTTCCTTTCGAACGCGTCTGAGTCCACGAGTCGGGCGCCGCCCGCGCCGCGCCCCCGCTTCAGTTTGCCGCGGATGCGCGAGCCCTCCTTCTCAGACCCCCCCGCCGCCCGCTGGGCCATCGCATGGTGGGCCTCAGGGCTGCGGATCAGCCGCCGAAGGGGCCGCGCGTGAGTCCCGCGAAAGAGCTTCTCGCACTTTTATCCCTTCCCCCCCCCTTGCCCCCTGCCCCCCCTGCCGACCCCCCCCCCCCCCCCCCCCCCCTCGCGCCCTGCCCCCCCCCCCCCCTTCCCGCCCCCACCCCTTCCTTTCCAACCCGGCCTCCCTTCCAGCTCCCCCCCCTCCGCCGCAGCCGCGCTCCCGATGGAGCGCGCCCGCGGCGCCCCCCAAAAGGCGCGGGGCGCCCTTAGCCCCCCCCCCTCCCCTGGAATATTCTCGCCAGGAGAGCGCCCATTCATGTTTCTCGCCCTTCGGCATCCACCTCTCGAAAATTGTCGCGCCCCGGCGCCCTCCGCCCCCCCCCCGCACCCCCGCCCTGAAGTAGGGAGGGGGGGGGGGGCTCAGCTACCCCCCCGAGGGCCTCCCGCGCCGGAGGCCCCCCCGCCCTTCCCGTTTCGTTTTTCGCTCTTCGAGAGCGCCCCCCCCCCCCCGCGCTTTCCGGAGGCCGCGCCCCCCGACCTTTTCCCCAAGAGGAGGGGGGGGGGGGGGGGCTAGCTGCCCTCCTTTTGGACCTCCTCGGCCGGAAGGCCCCGCCCCCATCCCCACCCCCCCCCCTTCCTCGGAAGCGTCGCTCACACCGCGCGGGCGTCGCCGCCGGGGCCTTCGGTTGATCTCCCAAGTGGGCCACGCAGCGCCGCGCTGAGTGGGGGAGAAGCACGCGGGCGCCGCCAGCGGGGCCTTCGGTGGAGCCCCTTTATGGGGCCACGAAGCGTCGCACTGGGCAAGGGGGATGCATGCGAGCATCGCCGCTGAGGTCTTCGGTGGAGCTCGTCGCGGGCCCGCGAATCGCAGCACTGGGCGGAGGAGACACGTGCGAACGCCGCCAGCGGAGCTTTGGGTGGGGCCCCCCACGAGGCCGCGAAGCGCTTTGCTGGGCGGGGGAAACGCATGCAGACACCGCCGCTCGGGCCCTCGGCGGGGCCCCCCATGGGGCCGCGAAGCGTCGCGCCGGGCGGGGGAAATGTTTTACGCGTCGTTGGAGATTGACGAGGCCGCCAAGCGTTGTGCGAGGCAGCGCTGGCCAGGTGCGCTCGAGCTGGGCGGCGTCGCCATGCTGCGCCCTGGCGCGCTGGGGCGGGCAGCGCGGACTGTTGCTGAGGGTGCGACCCTGGCCGAGATTGGCGGCGGTTTGCCCTGCGTCGAGGTCAGCGGGCCCAACGCCAGCAAATAGGGCACCGCGGGGCCAAAGAGCGGGCCGTTCTTCGAGATGCCCAAGGCCATCAAAAAAGCCTTCAGCGAGCACCGTTGCAAGTCGTTCGTGGAGAACGTGGTCGGCAGGCCTCAGGGCGACGTCGCGCTTGTCTCTGAGGAGCTGAGGATCAATCCGTACCGCATCGAAGCCATCGATATGCGCCTGGCGGGGCGTCCTCGGCTGCGCTGGCTGTCCTGGAAGTTGGTAGCCCGCGAGAGAGTCGCTGCCGTCGGGGGAGATGGCCACTGCTGCAGGATCAAGCCCCATGCGGATCCCAACCTCTCCCTGATCTGGGCCGAGGACGGGCGGGGCTTGCTGGGCCTGAGGCGGGCGCCCCCCACATCTGCGAAGGCGTGCAAGGGTATCGGGGCCGCGGGCGGCCCTGCAGTGGAGAGAGAGGGGCGGCGGCCCGCTACGCGACGCGAGGGCACGACGCTGAGGGCGAGAATTTGCCGTGAGACAGTTCTCGGACCAGCTGGCGATTGCCGTCGGCAGATGGATTGACGGGCTTCGATCGCGGGTGCGCGCGCGCAGCTGTGGGCGAGTCCGCGCCTCAGTGGGGGTTTCTTCTCTGCCGAGTTGAAGCGCGCCTCTTCGTGCTACTGTTGGGTCAGGAGTGCCTGACGTCGCGCCTCTGCTCCGCAGAGGAGTAACCGCGGCCTCGGGGGCCCAGGGGCCATCGCTTGGCAACGCGGAGGTCAGCGACTCAGAGCTCGGGCGCCTGCTGATCTTCAAGTGCCTGCACATTGCCAGCCGCGGTGGGCGGACGCCGCAGTGGACCTGCAGGCGCCGATCCGAGCTAGGCATGGAGACGGTCGGGCTGCAGACAAGCTTGTGGACCTGGCCCCTTGGGCTTCGGTTCCAGTGGAGGGGGCAAGCCAGCGTCGACCAGCTGGACGTCGGCGCGGCGGTCAGCGCCGTCACGTGGATACCAACAACGTCTTCAACATCTCGCTGCTGATACTTCCACCCGCTGCACTCGCAGGTCGCCTGCTACATCGAGCACGCGAGGAAGAGCGGTGGCTCACTGCTGAGGGTGAGCGACACTATCGCGGGCAAACCGCCCCATTGCCTTGTTTTGTTTTGGAATTGAAGGCGAGCTGGAAGTTTCAGGAGATGTGGCCTTAGCTGGTGCCCGACGTGCGCGCGCTACCATTGCCTTCTCTCTTGGCAGCTACCTATGCTGGCGCATTGTTATAATGGGGGCGCCCCCATGCTGCAGCCATGCCGACGGTGAGCTATGCGACCTTCCCGAGATCTGGCGGGGCGAGTCTCCATCCACGCGACATCGTCGTGTCCCTGCCCGATCTCTTGCCATGATACGTCCCGAGGACACCACGACATGCCAAAGGACAGCAGAGAGAAGTGATGATCTTGAGACTCAAAGTTGCCGTCCGCCTGCTGAGCAGCATGCTGTAAGCCTGCCCTTGGCACGCTGCCGCATGACATCGGCGAGCCGCCATCTTTCTGATTTCGGGCGGGTCGCCGTCTGGCTCCGCCTTCAAAGGCACAAAGTGACGCTTTTCTCCTTCAGCAAGGGCGGGGCGACTCTCGATTTTTTAGAGCGTTGCAGTATCAAGCTGACGCTTGTGAAAAGGCGCTGGGCCACTGCATGCTCGGCATGATTGTATATTCCAGATGCTGCCGCATCCTCTGCCGAACTCGACATGTGCCCAGGCCGATAGGGACGCGCGTGCCCTCGCCTTTCTGCTGTACATTCCCATTCCACCTGCCCCTCTTAAGAAACAGACTTTCCCTAATCCCCTCCACCGTTGCACGTGTAGGAGGCTTGCCAGGCTGAGCAAGCATGGGAACGCCCGTTCAGGACTGACCCTCTTGTGCAGAGTAGGGCCCATGGAAAGGGGTGAGGCCCCCCCAGGACTAGCTAGAGGGCGGTTTCCGCGGGCGGGCACCGGGGCGCTCGGCTTGCTCGTTTGCCGGGAGGTTCGGCTGAGGCGGGCGAGGCCGGGAAACTGGGGGGCCCTTCCTGGAGGTTGGTCTGGGCGAGAGCAAGGCTTCGTCGATCGTGGCCCTGGGTGCCCGTGGGGCCTCCCACCGTCTCTGGCCGTCTGGCAGGTTCCATTTCTTGGCGAACAAGTCCTCTGGCTGCGCCAGAAAAACGAAGAAACGACGGGACACACATATATCCGTACAAGGGTTTTGCCCCATGCCGCCGGCCCCCTGTCCCGGATAATGGGATATGCAAAAGCTAAATCATGAGGTGTGGGCGTCGCCGTGAAGCAGTGTCGGGACTTGATTGTTTTTCAACACTGATCCTACGGATCTGCGCCACGGGTGCCACCGAATGTCAGAAGTGTGTCAAATCCCTTGTGCTTTTGAACCCTGACCCTACGGATCTGCGTGAGGGGTGCCAGCAAATTTCAAAAATGTGGCAGATCCAATGTGTTATTAGACCCTGACCCTGCCGATCTGCGTGAAGGGTGCCGCCGAATTGCAGAAATGTGGCAAATCCCCTGTGTTTTTGGACCCTGACCCCGCCGATCTGAGTGAGGGGTGCCACCGAATTTCAGAAATGTGGCACATCCAATGCTTTTTTGGACCCTGACCCCGCCGATCTGCGTGAGGGGTGCCAGCAAATTTCAGAAACGTGACGAATCTTTATTGGTTTTGGACCCTGACCCCGCCGATCTGCGTGAGGGGTGCTAGCAAATTTCAGAAATGCGATGAATCTTCATTGGTTTTGGACCCTGACCCCGCCGATCTGCGTGAGGGGTGCCAGCAAATTTCAGGAATGTGGCAAATCCGATGTGTTTTTGGATCCTGACCCCGCCGATCTGCATGAGGGGTGCCAGCAAATTTCAGGAATTTGGCAAATCCCCTGTGTTTTTGGACCCTGACCCTGCCGATCTGCGTGAGGGGTGTTAATTTTTACCCACCCCAGCAATTCAGAGCACACGCTCAGGGCGTGGTAAAAATGCCCCTTTTGGGCCTCCCCCCCTCGCGCGGTCCATCAACAAGGAACAGTAAGCAGCAAGAAGTCAACAATGAACAGTAAGCAGCAAGAAGCAGAACTGTGACAGGGGAAACTGGAAGCTGCAACTGTCACAGGAAACTGCAAACCTTCGCCCTACAGCCTGGTGGCCCCACAAGGGGGCCCGCGGATATATATATATATATATATATATATATATATATATATATATATATATATATATATATATGTACATGCATACATACACATATACCTACCTACCTACCTACCGACCTACCTGCCTACCTACTCGCCTACCTACCTACCTACATACATAATTACCTACCTACCTACCTACCTACCTACCTACCTACCTACCTACCTACCGACCTACCAAACTACCTACCTACCTACCTACCTACATGTATGCATGCATGCATACATACATACATACATACATACATACATACATACATGCATACCTACATACATACATACATACATACATACATACATACATACATACATACATACATACATGCATGCATGCATGCATGCATGCATGCATGCATGCATGCATACATACATACATACATACGTACGCACGTACATACATACACACATACATACATACATACACACACACATTCAAACATGCATGCACTTAGATATATACACACATCTATCAATGCCAGAAGGACAGCGAAAAGCTCTGCAGCAGGCATTTGTTGGAAAAGCGTGGGGAGGTACCCGTGCAACATGCTGGCTTATCTGAAACTGCCGTCCAAGGATCACAGCCCCCACCCGCACAACTGAGGCGGCCAGCTTTACAACTACATCCACAACCACCCCCGACAGCGTGCACGTCCAGGAGCAGATCCTTCGAATGACGGGTCCATACGACAGCCTCGTCCAAGCCCAGATTCGGAAGCGACCAGGACGAGTCTGGCACAAGAGATTTGGTCCAGTTGGATGGCTGCTCGGCTGTGCCAGTAGCCAAGGCCAGCGTCTGGCAGCAAACTTGCTGTCCGTGGGCAGGCAGCCGTGGAACCTGTGCCAGCACGTGCCGATCTCACCGCGCGCCAGGCCATCTGGATTCTCACGGCTCCGCCTGCCTCGTGGAGCTTGTCCTGGGACCAGAGCCTCCCGCACAAAGACACCCGAGGAGCCCATGGTGCTCGGGGGTCCAGTCGGGCCCCCTGGGAGCAGGAGGGAGCAAGAGGGCCCCGAGGGGCTCGAGGAGCGGGGGCCGGGGGGGGGACTGCTGAGCCCAAGGGGGGCGCCTGGACAGAACCTGTCGCCAAAGCCCGGTGGCCTCGTCAGCCAGCTTCGCGCCATCCTTGGGCTCCACAGGAGCTGCACCACGCCGAGTGTTCCGTTGGGCAGGGTTCGAAACGGTACACCCGAGTCTGATCATCGTGTCCATTTGGGCCGACGCAGGTCCCTGGAGATGGTACCAAGCACGGGACTCGGGGATCCTGGAAAGCCTAGTCCACGACCCATTCAGAAGGCGATGCATATCAGCACTCGGCGCCCAATCGTCTCACAACGCCTGAAGCCACATGAAGATGTGGACCGTCTTTCACTCGAAGGCTGGTTCGACCTGCCGACCCGCCATCATCAACTCCACGATTTCCAGGATGGGGGAGGAAGAGGAACACCAGGAGGAGGCGGATGCAGACGACAGGCCAAGGACGACGACGAGGAGAAGGAGGAGGAGGAGGAGGAGGAGGAAGAGGAGGACGAGGAGGAGGAGGAGGAGGCAGGCACGAGGAGGAAGAGGTGGAGGAGGAGGAGGAGGAGGAGGTTGAACTGCTGCCGTTGCTACTGCCCATGCCCCTGAATCTGCTGCCGCTGATACTGCTAGCGCTGCTCTCGATTCCGTCATAATCATTCAGCAAACAGCGCACCCTGACGCAATGAGCAGCAGCAAGCGCGTTCGACGGGTCAGCCCTAGTCTATCCTGCAATACTGGAGGCAGCGCGTGGTGCGTTGCTCTGGCAGCGGCGCCCGGGGGACCTGCCGGGGGGGGGCCCGCCGGGAGAGCTTGCGCCTCCCAGACGGCCCAAGCGAGTCCAAGAGGCTTCCAAGTTCGCCGAAGATGCCTCCGACACGGCCGAGGACGGATTCGAGATGGCCCAAGATGGCGTCCAGACGGCCTCAGAGGGCTCAAGCCAGGCCTGATCCTCCGGGGTGCCGGAACCAGCGTGAGGAAACAGGGCCGCATTTTTTTGGATTCAGGCAAGTTTACTTGCCTCAATCCAAAAGTTATCCCGGCAAAGCAACCTAACAGCGATGTGTAGAAGCATATCTGGAAGCGTTCCCCTTCAGATTTAGGCGAGAATCCAGTTGTAGAATTCTGCTGTTCTCGCAGTCGCAGCCTCAGCCTGCCTCGGCTTGCCTCGGCCTCAGCCTCAGCCTGCCTCGGCCTCAGCCTCAGCCTCAGCCTCAGCCTCTC